CGTCAGCTGCCAAGAGGGAAACTGGACCCGAGACGAAGACCACGCCCAGCTATGTCACTTCTCTCCAATGCGGGTGTATAGTAGCACGGCTGCGATTCTGGGCATGAGCCAACAAGGGGAGACCATTATGCTGGAGCTGCTGGGGTGCCGACAACTTGAGTGTGACCAAAAAGCGGCAGGAATCATAAACCATGCGATTTGTAACATGGACACACGGCGTGGGTAAACACTCATCCAGAGGGGGAATACAACAAGACCCCATGACTCTTCTCGGAGCTGAGTGCAAGCTCGGGAAATTCAAGGGCTCGGAAACCGCATGGACTATTTTAAGCTCTCTGTGAAACTTACAATGTAACAGACACGGACATAGAAATACAGCACCCTCACGCTCACCTCGCCCTCTCCGTTGACAGCAAAATAATTCATTTCTGGCACATCCACCAGCTTTACGACATTGCAGGGCAGCGGGGCTCCAACGTGTCCTAGGGAACAAGGAATACAAGCTCAACGGAAAAGCGAGCGGCGTGCTGACAAGCTCTGGAAACCAGGAGACCTGGTCTTGGGCTGAACCACACACAGCTCCCACACGGGAGACCTCACCAATCACACACGAACGAGCCGGGGCTCTCCGCTCAGAGCTCGGGGCCTTCAGAGCACTTTGTCAACATGCTTACCGCTGTTTTAATTAATCCATGGCGACTCACATTTTTACAGCTGGGGAATTTCAGTGCTCAAGGGTACAACAACAGTTACAAGTCCAGAATCCTGACTGCTGAGCCTCACAGCTGCCGTTTTGCTCCTCACAGGGTCTGAACAGATAACCCTCTCACCTCTTCACAAAATTGTTCGAGCGCACTGACAGGAAAACCCGCAGCCCAGCATGTACTTCTTTATCTGAATGTGCCATGCATGAGAGTTTAGGCATATAAACACAAAATATTTTCACTTCACAGAAAAATACTTCCATCTACAGTATGTAAATACTCCCCAAAATAATTTTTCAATATCCGAGTATCGTCAAGGCTATGAGGCTTTCACATAGGTTACTGAAACCTGAAACCCTTTCTTTATGAACCCCAGTTGTTTCCTTGCCAAGATGCTACTGTCAAAATAATATTATAATACTGAAAACACAGCTGTACACAGCTGCACTTGTCTTACCATTGTTTTTGATTAATTAAACCTATGTAACATGGCTTGAAAAATGCCCCATCCTTCTGCATATTACAACAACAAACAAGTCATCACAAACTTTTACATAATTTATCAAACATGTTCTAGGGCTCTAAACTAGAAACACAAGTTTGGGAACACATCCTAGGCTAGTGAAATGCAAATCTGAAACCTTTTCCTTAAAGGCATTCCTCTCAAACGAGTAACCAAAATTAAACCATAACCCGAGGCGGAGCCTAGTATCAGGTTTGTGCTTCAACAACTCATCGAGGAACTCGGGCACAGAGACCCCCTTGTGTATTTGGTGAAGTTCAAGCCAGTGGAGGGAGACGGGCGCGACGCGGCCTTTACCTGCGGTCCAGTCCCCTGGCATGGACAGAGTGATGCCCGCTGTGCACTCCGTCTGGCCATAGCCCTCGTAGAACTGCCAGGGAGAGAGAGAACAGGCAGGCGGGACACGGTGAGCAACTCAAGAGACAGAGACAGAGAGTGACAGAACATAAAACCTGCTTTTAAATGCTGAATTCGTTTTAAAACTGCCAAAGGTGCAAAAGTTGGGACTACTTTTTTTTAACCAGCTACACTGCCTCCTTTCTCCTCTCATCCTCTGCAGGGAGGCCCTTGGGCAGTTCGGAGCTTCCCAGAGCTTCCCTAAGGTCTGCTGAGAAGCTGGTTTTTATGCACCCCTTCACTCTGCTGATGCAGGAGATGCATATCTGGAATAATCTCGGCCATTGCCCTAGTTTTTGGTTAATAACACACCCTTGTTTACAATT